AGAAGGGAGTCAAGAAACCTGGACTCCAGGCTTAACTCTGCCACCGTGCAACTCTCGTGAGTTTGTTCAGTATGTATTTAATGTCTGCCACATGCTGCCACTGGGGACACGAGCAATGGTAGCAGTAAGAAGTGGCTGCGGGAGGTGTTAGCCCTCTCAGAATGGCCATCAGCACCCCGTCTCCAGGCCACTTCAGGCTGATGGTGTGACACCTTAATTTGTGGAGGAAAAAAAAAACTAAGTAAAGGCTATAATTGCCAGTAGGGATAATTGGTCAACCGTTAGGAAATCCATGTAAAAATAGTGTGGTTGTTATGCAAATTCAGCTTCAAGAGGCAGTCTCAGCAGCCACACACCCACTGCTCACTCCTTTCTAAGTGGGTAGCTGACCCTAAACTTCTCCCAAATAGGAATTCTGGAGCTGCCCCAGGATGGAGGGGGGTGAGCAAAACAGAGGTGGTGGCCTGGAGCGGAGCATTAAGCAATCATGTGCTCATGACCCAACACGATGAGTACCGTCATGGGGGAAGCCAGGGGATGGTGGGATCACAGGAGCCCCCTAACCCAACTGGAGGGTTTCCTTTGAAAACCATGTCACAGATGGTTCATATGTGCTAAAGAATTACATGAAGTGCCTACTAAGCCAAGACCTAAAGTAGGAGGGGGAGTGAGGCAGGTTGGCCCAGGGGGAGAAAAGAATTCCAGGCAAGAGCCCAGGGCTGTTGAGAACATGGCTAGTTTGGGGAACTGATTGGTCTGGCTGGGTGAGTCAGCTTCCTGCTAGGATTAGTCTGGAAGAGACCTTGAAGACCTCCTAGTGTCTGCTGTCCACCTCCAAGCTAATGACCAGGCCGAGCAGCATTTCTTTCTGCCTCCCCCAGCCTCTTACATACAGATCCTGGCTCTTCATCCCTGAGAGGAAGCTGAGAACCCAGAAATCTGCATGACTTGACAGCCTTTGGAGGCCCTGGTGCGATCTCAGTCGTGGCAACCACCAGAGTGGTGCAGCCTTACATTGGATGTTGCAGAAAGTAGAGACCCACAGGCCAGCTGGCATGGCTCAATTGGTTGAGCATCAACTTATGAACCAGGAGGTCAAGGTTTGATTCCTGGTCAGGGCATATGTCCGGGTTGCCGGCTCGATCCCCAGTGTAGGAAGTGCAGGAGGCAGCCGATCTGTGATTCTCTCTCATCATCCATATTTCTATCTCTCTCCCTTTCTTTTCCTCTCTGAAATCAATAAAAATGTATTTAGTAGAGACACGGAGAGGACCCAGGCATGCCTGAGGCCGCACAGAGAGCTTGGACTCTTAACCGTCTGGGCCGAGAGTTCCCTTCACTAACGTAACCTCCACCTCTATATATAGGCTCTTTTCCACACTCTCTTGTTTGCAGGGTGGGGTGCCTTGCTCTGATAGTTCTGCCCAGGTGGGGGCGCAGCATCCTTGAGCTGAGCGCAGCCTGGCAACTGGGCCTGAAAGGGCTTGGAGAGTTGGGGACAAGGAGGGTGGGAGGAGACTGGAGGGATTGGGCACCTAGGGCAGGGTGGGAGGAGGGGCTACTACGGAAGCAGGCTTTCTGATATGCCCTCCACCGTTCAGGCAGCCATGGTGGGAGGGGTAGAGATGCTCTAATTAAGCCCAGTTTCTAATTAAGCCCAGCCCCTGTGTCTCTTCGATCCCCATTAGCTCCCCATGGTGTCCCCAAGGCATTTTAAGCTGCCACCCTGCTGAGGACGCTGGGACTGCTGCCAGGGCTTGCCAAGCCTGAAGAGCTTAGGCCTGTGAGGGGCAAAAAAAAAATCAGCCCATAATTCCCCTCCGTCCGTGGCAGTTTCTAGGTCCTCCAGTCTCCTCTGAAGCCCAGGAGAGCCTCCTGCCCACCATGTCAACCTCTGGGGCTCTGCGTGGAAACTCGATCGGCTCCCATGCAGTCTTGTCGCCAGCACCCACTTTTTTGCCTCCAAAAATGCCAGTCTGGGGGCCCGGGAGCGGGGCTGGTATTGGCTTTGGCTGCAGCCCCCAGATTCAGGAATGTTCTTTCAGAACCCTGAGCCCAGCACGGAGTCTGCAGGAAGCAGCAATTACCATTTTAGGTTAAGGCAGCCCGGGTTTGTTAACCCTTGTGGTGCTGGATGCCAACCCCTCTTCCTCCCCTTCTCTTTCCCCCTCCGTACATCATGCTCCAAGTTCTTGGCAGAGTGAGCAGCCCCTCCTTGTCGTCTCCTCCCTCCCTCTTTCCACCAGGCACTCAGAGTTCAGAGAGGTGGAGCATCCCTTTTAAGGTCACACAGCCACGGAGGCGGCCTCTGCCCCTGGAGACTCAACCACGGCCCTGTCTCTGCCACTACCACCTTGGCAATCTCCCCAGGCCACATTCACACATGCAGCGTTTAATTAACTTTATTGATATTCAAAAATTAGGAGAATGACTAAAGGTAATTACTCATTAAAAATCATGAAACTGACACAGCAGGCCCTGCGCAGGCACCTGCGCGGTGCTTCCCCTCCTGCACCGCTTTCCTCCTACTTGTGGCAGGATCTTCCGGGCCCTTCTCACTGGTTGGGAGTGTGACCAATAGCCCCTGACACCCCTCCCGGCTGGGAACAATTAGCCCGGCAGCTTTGGCGTGGGGGTGGGGGAAGGTGTGGAATAGGGGACTGAATTTATCAGATTGAGCCAGGCCCAGAGACATCCTTCCCTGCCCTCTCCATCTCCTGATTCTGGGCTGTTCCTGGCCGTATCCCAGGGCCAGCATACCTTGGTCTCTGTGAGAGCAAAGCTCTAAGGGCCCTTCTTGAGGCCACGAGGCTGCAGATGCACCGCCTGGGCCACAAAGGCTCACAAAGGCTCACAGCCCTTCAGCCTTCTCTTGACTGCAGCCCCCAGGAGCTCAGAGACAGCCCAATACACTGCCTCCCAGTGAGATGACTTAGTAGCTCACCACCTGGGACCTCACACCTGCTGGGAGGGAAGAGGGTACCAGGGCAGCCCAGGTGCAAGCCCTCTCTCCTCAGGCCGGGCACTGCAGGGCTGCTTCCTCTTCTCCCTTAAGGAGGGAAAATAAAGATCTTCCCCTACCTGCATATCCCTTGGCAGGTGGCCCCACGGGTATTAGAAAGGTCAGGATGGGTCAGGGAGGGACACTGACCAGCGATACCCAGACCTTCAGCCACAGAGTGGACACTCACCCCTCACTCCTCACCCTCAGGACGGCTCCCTGGACTCCCGCCACACCAGCCATTCTCCTGGAGACCCGCAGGCAATCTCACCCAGCCCTGCAGAGAGAGAGCTCCCTGGCAGAGGCTGCACTGCACACTGGCATTCTTACGCACTCCTCACACCTGCTCACAGCCGAGCTCTCGCCCAATATGCAGACCTCCTGGAGCACAGACACCCTTGGGCCCTCTACTCCAGACACGCTGGGTCTCGATTACATTCACACTCAGACTGACACACCCACACACAAGGGTCCGGACTACACGCAGGGGAGGGGGCACACACCGGCCCTGTGCCCCAGGAGAGCTGTCCAACGACAGTCGGGCGGGATCCCAAGACAGATCCTAACTCCTGGGATAGCTGGGCTAGGATGCTGGCTTCCCCTCCCGGTCTGCCCCAGATGGGGTGGGGCTTAAGGGGCTACAACCCCCTTAATACGAACACACAGGTTCTGAATTCTGGGCACCAAGTATGCACCCTGCGAGGCCAGCTAGGGTGTGGGGTGAGGACACCCGCCCAATGCCAGGCTGAATGCAGCTGGTGCCAGAGGCTCAGGGGAGGGCTTCTGTGCCCTGGGGCCGCAGAGTGAAGAAAACTGCCATCCAGGGGCTGATTCTGACCCCAGCCCGCTGCCCTGACCTCCAAAGCGGCTTGGAAAGACTGAGCATGGAGGTTTAGAAGCTTCTACATTCTCCCTCGTCCACACTGGGTCCTACAAACCATACTGAGAAAGGCAGCAGGTCCCAACTTCAAGCAAGGTCCCAGCCCACCCGGATGCAGTGGAAGAAAGACCTTGGCGTCGGTAGCTTTGGTGAGCGCTTGTTTACACAGGCAGCGGGTCCCCTGTAGACTCGGAACCCTTTCTTCCCAAAGGCACAGAACCCCCACCTCTCCCCAACACCCCCTCAGCCCCGGACAGACCAAGTTAGAGATCAAACGGCACAGCTGGTGGGGCCTGGGGCGGTAGGGTGGGAGGCAGGTCTTCTCCTAAGAGTCTTCCTACATAGGGTGGGAGGGAGCTGAGCAGGAGGGCTGGCCTGAAAGGAGGAAGAGCTCTGGACGTGTGTGTGTGTGTGTGTGTGTGTGTGTGTTTTCACGTGCGCGCGCGTGCACGAGCGCGCGGGAAGGACCTGGGGAGGACAAAGTGTCTATCCCAGGACCTCAGCCGCTGCAGCCCAGGGCCCAGCGCGAAGCCGTTTGACGGGCCCAGAGCCGCCGACTTTCCCTGGAATTGCACACGAGATTCCGACTCCGGTGTGGCAGCGGCAAGACCGAGGGAAGTGAGCGATGTCCCAACTCCGGGTCCGGCCGCCATCCCGTCCGGTCCCTCGACCATGAGGGGCGCGAGGGCCTATGGAACCGGTGGCAAAGTCGAGCGAAGTTTGGAGGGCGGCGGGAAAGGCGGGACCGCGGCCGCGAGCAAGACCGTCCAGCCCCAGCGCCCCGTGGCCTCCCTCCCCGGAGAGGCGAGGCAGCGCGCGGGTGAGCGCGAGAGTGAGTGCGGGGTGGGGGTGGCGTGATGAATTGCAGCAGAGAAATCCCATTAGATCCGGGAAGATGATTAAAGGCGAGGTCTCGGCCCGGCGCGAATGGCGGGAGCCGCGGCAGCTTCCCGCCCGCGGAGCCCGCGGAGCCCGCGCCCCGCCCGGCTTGGCCGGCGCGGGGGCAGCGCAGCCGGCGGAACAGCCAGAGGCGCGGAGCAGGGCTCCGGACAGTCCTCCCTTCCCACCCCGGGACCCGTCCTCGTCCCCGTCCTGCGGCCGGACGCCGGGGTCCCTTACCGTGAGCCAGAAGCGCCAGCAGCGAGGGCAGGAGCAGTAGGGCTGCCGGGAGCATGGTGTTGGTGGCAGCCGCGCCCGGGTCCGGGCCGCGGCGGGAGGGCGGGGGGCTCGGTGGGGCGCGGGGCGGCGCGGGCCACAGAGCGGGGTCCGGCGGGGAGAGGGAGCGGGGCCGCCGCCGTCGCTGCCGCCGCCAGCGCCTGACAGAATCAGCACCACGGCCAGCGCCTGGCGTCGGCGCCGGGGACCGCCGAGCGGGCCTGGGGGCGGGGGCGCGAGAGGAGCGGCTTACCGTAAAGTCTCAAGCAAAGGCGCAGAAGACCCAGCGGCGGGAGCACAGGGCACCGCTGCTTCCAGCTCCGGGGAAGCGCTGCCCTGCTAATGTGGGCACGCGGCCCCGCCCTTCCGCGCTGCCCACGCCCAGCCAAGCCCCGTCACCCTTTCCCTCATTAGCAGCCTGCCAAAGAGATGGGGTTCTAACTTGATTCTCCACGAGCCGAGCATCCTCTTCCCCACACTCCCCACCCCTCCTCCTCTTGGTACCTGAGAGTACCAAGGGTGACCTGGGAAGAAGACCGCGAGTGAGGCAGCGTGGCGAGGCCCGCATGCCTTGTGACAGCTCAGTCCTGGGCCGATAATGAAGATGGCTTTGAACGTACAAAGGACAATAAATTATTACTTTGCGCTCAATAAATGCCAGGGCTCCAGGCAGCTGCATCAGCAACAAACTGTGCTCACAGAAAAGCTTAATTATCCTGATATTATAGTTAAAAGCCAGTGGTACTTGTGTCCTGGGAAGACATTCTTCATTTGGCAGGAGGCGACCTGGGCCAAGCTGTGGGCAGCTGAAGGTAGTGTCCCTGGGTCCCCATGCAGCCCTGGATCTCCAGGACCCTGCCTTGACAACTCCCCACCCTGACAGGATCAGAGAAGACACGTTCCAGCACGTGAGAGCCAAACCTTTGTGCCTACCCCTGCCCAGGTTCCTAGGGTTTTTTGACATAGAGACTTGAAGGAGGCTCAGGAGGGTAGCCAGAACACTGTACCATTCAAGGACATGGAGAAATACGCTTCCAGGACGGAGGAGTCCCTGAGAGTCACAAAACAGCAAAGAGGACCATCACAGTTGTGCCTTCCCAGAGGCTGATGTTTAGATCCTGGGGATTTTGGCGCCGTGGACGGGCTCACTTGAAGAGGCTCAACGGATGCAGTGTGACAGGATCCTGTGACTGGTGTTATTATTATTCCCTGTGGAGGAAGAGGAGGGCGGAACTCACCTAGGGAAGACTGCTTTCTGTTTAGTTCCTTTCAACTGCACGAGGCTCCTCCCTACTCCAGACCCCAGGCATTGTCCAGGGCCCTTCCTGACCTCATCCTGCGAGCAGGTGGCAAGACTTCTGCTCTTAAGTCTCATTCCTCAGAGTCTTCTGGTCCTTAGCACCTCCACAGCCTTCCAGTTCTGCTCATCAGATTCTCTCTAGACCCTCTCTCTGTACCTCAAAGGCTGTAAAGAATCCTGGGCAGCAGACAGGTGGTGTGGAATGATCTGAGGGAGCCACTGGGAGAGGATTTCTGCACAGTTGTTTCAAGAAGCTGTGAAAAAAAGGGCAGTAGCAGAAGGGTGGCAGAAGGGGGGACTCGACAGAAGGATCAGTGGTAAGGAGAGGAAGCCAGGAAAGAATGTGCAGAGAGCTACCAACAGAAGAGGGAGGTGGGAGGTTCTGTGGCTGAGGGAGGTTTGGGGAAATACTGGCAAGGGGCATCAGATTCCTTTCTTTCTTTCTTAAAGGGATTCTTGAACTCCTCCTTGATTCCTGGGCCCCTCGGACTAAGCAGCTTGAGCAGGGGCGGGTGACTCATGACCCAGTGATGAACCTTATGTGCCAGGATGATTCATACAGGTTTGGAGGCTGGTGGCAGGCTTGTCTCCTGGCAGCTGGGCTCCTTGATGGGCTGGGCACTCGCAAGAAGGGTGAGAGGAGTCACCCAGGAACTTGCCACATTAGCCTCCTCATTGCCCCAACAAAGGAAAGCTTTTAGGAGGGGGGTTCAATGGAGACTACAAGTCCCAGAATGCAGCACTCTGCCCTGAGCTCAGAGGATGGGTTTGTACTGCATAATGGGAAGAATAATGCACCTGGGCTGTCCCTTCCTTCTAAAGGTGTTCAATGTGGTTTCCATGGAATGGATTCCCAGTTAGGTTGAGGCAGAGCCTGGTCAAACTGGGAAGCAGTAGCGTTTAAGCCAAGCACCCTGTCTTGTGACCTGCAAAGGGTCCATTGTGTCCAGATCTCAGCATCACCCACAAATTGAGGACAAAAGATGCCCTAAGGGATATTGCACTGTATGCTGCAGGCTTATTGTGTACTCAAGTCATATGCACATTTGAAAGTGGCAGCCTGCAGAGACTTGCAAGACTCCCTTCACTGTTCTTATTTCTCCCATTCTCTCTGTGTCTCAGACCTGGCTCTTTGCCCTCAGAGGAGCGTGGGTTTCCCTGGTTTATGTGATTATTGCTTAATTTCCTGCATTCTCTACTAATTGTCAAATCTGTGAAGGCACAGAGCATGTCTGTTTTCTCTGCTACCAACCTAGCTCACCACCCAGCACATAGTAGATACTTAATAAATATTTGTGAATAAATAATGGCATGGGTGGGGTGTCTAATGCCCAAGGCAAGTCATTGGTGCCAAATGAATGTTGTGAGATAATGGCGAAGGAGACAGTTGCTGCTGCTGCTTCTTCTTCTTCTTCTTCTTCTTCTTCTTCTTCTTCTTCTTTTTTTTCAAAAACAAAAAATGTTTTCATTGATTTTTAGAGAGAGGAAGGGAAAGGGAGCAAGCAAGAGATACAAACATCAATGACAGAGAAACATTGATCAACTGCCTCTGTTATGTCCCCTCAAGGGGACTGAGCACACAACTCGGGAATTGAACTGATGACTCTTGGTGCATGGGTGGACGCTCCACTACCAAGCCACACTGGCTAGGCACACAATTGCTTCCACGAATATAAGAAGAGGTCGTTGAAAGCTTTGAACAAAAGAAAGATGGATAAAATGAAGTCTTAACTATGTTTTAGGTTTCAGTCAGTGGAGAGGAAGAGGGAGGACACCCAAAGTTGAGGGAGTGGCTTATTCAAAGCAAAGTAGTGGAAAATGCAAGACAGTCTGGGGATAGTGAGAAGACCTGTTTTAGTGGAGCAGGGAGTCCCTGCAAGGCTGAAGGAGGAAGGGATGGAGTAGGCTGGGGTCAGGATTTGTGGTTATCTGAGATGTGTGGCATCCTTGTTGGCTATCATATAAGTATTTGTCCCAAATCAAGGGAGTCTGGAATATTAAGGTAAGTTTCCAAGCAGCATGGCAAGTGGTAAGAGGGGTTCACTGCTGACTCAGAAAGTGGGTGTGTGTGTGTATGTGTGCGAGAGAGAGAGAGAGAGAGAGAGAGAGAGAGAGAGAGAGAGAGAGAGAGAGAAAGTGAGAGAGTTACAATGACTGTTTTAGGACTGAGAGCCAGAGAGAGGGAAGAAGGGGCTCTCCCACCCCAGGGATCCTCACAGCCTCTGCCCAGACAGTGTCAGACATCCAGCCCATAACACTGGAGAAGCCAGCCTCACTTTCCCAGTCTGGATCCTGGGCACATTGGTAACTTATTTTAAACCCTCTTACTGAGTGAGAGGAGAAAAAATTAGTCCTTTCTAAGATTTCAAACCAGAGCTATTTCTTCTGGGGAGCCAGGGGGCTTTAGGGGTTTCAGGGAAGGCGGGGCAGGGGCTGCTTCACTCCAGAGACCCTTAGGGCACAGAGCTGTCTGCTCACCTCAGTCCGCTCCTCTGAGGGGGCCTCCAGACCCTGAAGCATCTGGAAGTCTGGGACGCCATGGCTCTGGAGTACCCAAAGTCAAGCCTGAGTTAGGGATGAGAGGATGGCCCTGCCCTAGTAACCGGGGAGTCCTGCGTCCTGGCTCCTGAGCATTTGCTCTCGCTCCGGGAGCAGGACCAGATCAGCTAGCTGTAGCAGAGCCCAGGGTAGATGAAGACAGCATTAGAAAGTGGTTTGAGCTGCTTCCCATCTCCAAACAGGCTTCCAGCCTGCCCACCACCCCCAAGGCCTTTGATCCTCCTCAGCTTCATAAATGTTTAATGCCACCAGCTGGGCAGGAATGAGGCACTGGTGGAGGAGCAGAGAGACTGGGGAAGGACTTAAGATCCACGCTGTTGGTTAGATTATTCTCACGCAGGAGCCCTGGCAAGGTGGGAGGAGGCCTTCCCGCTCCACGTGACGGGAAAGGAAGTCCCAGGGTTCAAGTTTGTGGCACCAACAAAAGGCAACGCTGTAAACCCACCAAGGGGCTGAAAACAAAACAAATAATCAATTGTGGAAGCCCAATCCCCAGTGTGATTGAAGGAGAAAGATGAAAGTTAAATGACAATCAAATGCAAATACAGCTCAACAAACACCACAGCAATTACCCGGCGCGGGAGCCACATGGTGCTTGCAGGCAGCAGGGGTTGGCAGTTTGGAAGCCTGCGCCTGTGCAGAGGTGATGGGAGTGGGGCCATTTTAATGGATAGAAAAAGGCAACCCCAAACCACTCTGCATCTACTTTGCATACACTGCTAATGAGTGGGGAGCTGGAGTGCTGGCATCCAGAGGGAGGTCACGCCACCTTCTGCGGCTGCCTCTGCGTCATTTCAGAAGGGAAGAGGGCCTGAGTGCCTGGGAGGTGAGGCCAGAGTGGGCTCTTGGATCAGAGGACCTAGAAAGGTCCGCACCGGTGTCATCGGGTTCTTCATACCAGCTGGTGCTGAAGGGATGAGGGTTGAAATTGAAGGGAGCCTGTGGGTTCCTCTGGGAAGGGGCTCAAGGTTCTGGCCTTTCAATAGCCCAAAGGCCCAGGGAGAGCAGCCTTCTCCTTTAGATTTGCATAATTATTTGCATATCATTTGAATGCTATTAATTCGGTGTCAGGCTAGGTTGGCTCGGGGTAAAAAAAGAGAACAGCTGGCCTTCTCCCTCCCCACTGTACCCCGAGGCTCACCCTGAGCATAGCCCTCCCC